AAAAAAAATAGCACTGAATATGCAGAGAACCTGAGTAGAACCTGATGAACCTCAGAAGTATAAATTGTCTTTGCATCAGATTTCTCAGAATTGCTGCTTCTCCAAGACCAGAGGCATCCATGAGGTGAGTGTGATTCTACTGGAAATTTATTGTTCCTTTCACCTTGAGTTGTTTTACTACAACCCACAGCCCTAATTCAGATGCAATTCACAGTCACCATGATGATGATGAACTGTACAAGTGTCAAGCTACTTTAAAATCTGAATCTGGTTTAGTTTCAATTAGTAGTGTCTCTGTTCCTAAATTAGTTTCAGATTTGCATGTGGAGGTTGCCTGCTATCAACATTTGAGAGATAAATATCTATATATTAATATATATTCCCAATCCATTGTGTCCACTCAAAATTCAGTGAGGCAGTCAGCAAAACTATATATTTTGTTTGGAATTATTTCTACAAAAAGGTGATTACTTCTTTGGAACAAAAGCATCTTCAGGGACACCCATGATTTACAACATTATGAGAAAAACAGACAAAATATTTTATCAAAAAAATAAAAACTAGATGAAAAAGTTTAAATCAGGGGAAAGCAGATCAAAAAGTCTATACCAGTTGTTTTCAAGGAAAACAGCTAAAAATGCTTTAAAACCTGCAGGTTCCACTGCGATTTAGTGTCTGTTTGAAATTCATTGTAAAAAACAGTGAAACTTCCACAAATTTTACTCAATATCAGATAGAAGTAGACAATGACATGTAATTGCATCCACAGCCCACAGTCTGTGGGAATGAAAGGAGCAAATCATCTATCTCATCTCCCCAGAGACACTGAGAAAATAAAATACTTTTGCTCCCAGGCTTCAGCATTAGTCATGAACTACTGGCCCATCCCAATTGATATTTGGCATTCTTTTCTCACAGGTAAAACTCTGTTTTACAGAGAGAAAAACAACATTTGCTGAAATTTCCACTATTTCTGCTCATTGAACTTATGTCAGGATCAAGGAAATTAATTTAATCTTTAATTTGAAATTAATTTAGTACTTTCAGATTTAGAGGAAAGAGAGCCACAAAGCTGTGATTGGAAATTCACAGTATTTCCTTGTGCTACAGCTTAATCTGAGCTTCTCTCTGTGCAGGTTTCTCTTCCTTAATAAGCATCCTTGACATCCAATCTGCTCCGTGGTGGGATTTGAATAACAACCTTCAGGATGGGCACCCATGGCCCCACTGAGCTGTGAAATGAATCGGACACAGGTAACAGCTTTTCTGTCACCCTGGCATGAATCAAAAACTCCTCAGCCCCCAGCTGCTGACAGACATAATTTAATCCTTGGGAATTTGGAGGGAATTTGAGACTTGGCCTCAGGAGCCAAGTCACCTGAACCATGGTGCCTCAAGCATCCAACATCCAAATCCCAACATTTGGGATGCTGCTGCAGGAAAGGGGGGAGAGGATGTTGGTGTTTAAACTTCTGGGAGGTGGGAAAAATTCCTTCCAAGTTGCTGCTTATTATAACAACTGCTGGCAAAAGGTAAATTTCAGTCTGGATTGCGATGCCTGGGAGCCAAATGTTGTGATGATGGTTCCTGCAGCCTGATGGGCTGGGATTCACTTGGGCATTAGGAAGTAATAAACTGGCAGAGTTATAGGGAACAGGCTCAAAACCACATCCAGCAAAGCCTTAAGAACTTTTCCCTGCTTCTTAACCCTGTGCTTCTTTAATTTTAACCTTCAAAAAAACCAAATTTGAAAGATTCCCCAAACCTTATTCCATAATTGCCTGTGGATGCATCATTTTCTTCTGGCTTGCCTCTCCTCCACCCATTTTTTTTTTTCTTAAATCTTTTGAAGCCCCATACCTCGAGACACTAAGAGATGAAGAATAAAATTATTTAAGAGAGAATAGAGAGCAAGGTGAGGAAAAGGGTGGGCTGCATGATGCATTTCTGGACCCATGGAAGCATGTGAAATGAGTCACTGGTCATGAAACTGAGTGATCACAAAGGGATGAGATACAATGAGGAGGAGGAGAAGCAGTTGAAAATGTTAGTGTGTTCACTGAAATCTGTTAAAAAGCTACTTTAAAGTAATTAACAATGACTACAAAAGCAGTAACACTCTGTAACACTGAAGCTTTGGAAAAAAATTCGCTCACATGAGTACAGTCATTATATGATCATAATCTAGTGAGAAAATCACCATCAGCAAAATTCCCAGAGGAACATAAAATCACTGCCAGCTAACAGCATGCAGGCTGCTCCTGGCAAAAGCATAAATTGGATGCATTACAATAGGAATAGGATGATTACAGCTTCACCTTTCAAAAAGTTCACGGTGATCCCTTTTTTTTTCTCCATTTCTATGTATTGAATGTTTGCTGCTGCTCTTTAATAATCTCCAACACACAATGCTTTAGGATTTTTGGGCAATTTCCAGAGCTCAGTTATATTTACAAGGCTGCATTTACACAGCTCTGGGGGACTAAACTGAAACATTAATCGGTTTTAATCTTTGAAACCTTCTCCTTCAGGAATTTTGACTAATTTGCTTCATGCAAACTGCTCCTTGCTTAAGCAGCTTCAGATGTTAACTTCTTTTTTAATAAAGAGGGACTTCAGGAACATCTACTGGAAGGACAATATTCCACACTTGTCTCTGTAAGGACATGGACCCTGCTGAGGAAGGGGCTGACACAGAGCCATTGGGTCAGGAATAATGAATATCTAATCTGGTGAATGCCAGCAGAAACCATCTGAAGAAAAATTGTAACTTTTAGACTGAATTTAAATATCTAGAACAATTTAGGGGAGAAAAAAGCCAATTTGTTTTGACTTTGGTTTAAATAATAGACAACCAAGACTGGGCAAGTTCAAATATGGTAATTTGGTTTCAATTTTCATTAAAAAAAAGTCATTAATGGAGCCTAACCCTGTGTCTCTCATCTCCCCACGGCTGGGCTCTGAGACACAGCCATTTAAATACTCAAATCATGGTAAATTTGCTGTATCTGGAGAGAACCTAGAACACACTGAGCTGCTGGGAAACACTCTGGGCTTTCCTGGGTAAAAATCATATTATTTTTCACTGGCATTGCCCGATCTGTGTTCAGTCCTTGCAGAAAAAAAATTAAAACCTTGAAACTCAGCCCCAGCTGTGCAGATCATTCCAGCTTTTAAAAGCCTCCAACACTTTTACAGGGCATCTCCTGTATTATTAATGTCATCCATCTTTCAGATATTCATGGTTTCAGTGACTGGTTCTTTCCATGACACTTTTATATATCCTGTTCTACACGAGAGATAAGGAGCTGCAACTCAGCTGTGCGTTTATACAGAATAAAGATATTTAAGATCCTTTTTTTTTTTCCTAATGCTGATGAAACAGAAGATCCAAAGGTTCTGGGGGGTTTTTAAGGCTCCTGCATTCAACCCACACTCTCACAGGCAGGGAGGAAATTTGCTCCAAGCCTAAAAATGGGTCAGCAAGGCCATGGGGAGAAGAGGTCTGTGCTC